GGTGGCCCCCAAAGGCTCCTGGGCCTTGGGGGTGGCCAAGGAGTCCCTAAAAAAGAGGGACGTGACTGTCACCGCCGCCGCCACCGCCGCCGCCACCACCCCCGAGGCGGAGCTGTGGTCCATGGGCCTCTGTGAGGGCCAATTTTGGGCCCTCACCTCCCTCGATCGGGTCCCCCTCTGCCACCTCCAGGTCCCCAGAAGGGTGCGGGTGTCCTTGGACTACGAGAAGGGGCAGGTGGCGTTTTTCGACGCCGAAAAGAGGGCGCTGCTCTTCGCCTTCCCGGCAGCTTCGTTCAATGGCGAGAGTGTCCACCCCTGGTTCCTGGTGTGGGGCGAGGGTTCCCGCCTCACTTTGTGCCCCTGAAACGCCTCCTTTTTGGCCAAAATGCAAATTTTTAGCCCCAAATATCCCCGTTTCCAGCATTTTGGGGGATTTCCCTCTACTAAAAGTCCTCATCAGCCTTTCAAGGTGGGGAAAAATCAGAATTTTGGCTGATCAAACGCCAAAAGTTTGAGCATATGGGCCCAAAATGGCCGACAAATACGGCTCACAGTGTCCCCCCCCTTACATTTTTAGGCGAAATAAATACATTTACACGCCGCAATGTTCTTTTTCGATGGGTTTTTGGATGAATTTCGGGTGTCGGGTTCAATCCGGGGCAAAAACATAGAGTTTTGGTTGACTAAATCCTATTTATGACATTTGGACAAAGCACCCAAAATTTCCACAGGGCTCCATGGGGACGTCCCCGGAAGCCACCAAAGGAACGGACACCGAGGAGAAAATGAAGTATTTTTTAATTAATATTAACGAGCGACATCGTGGAGGTCTCGAATATCAAAATTTGAGGGAAAAAACTGGAAATATTTGAGGCTCGGGAGGTTTCCCATGGCCGAAATTCCCACCCCAGGCTCCTTTTTAAGGGTGAAATTATCTCTTTTAGGACAAATTTTGGCAACATTTAGGGCAAATTTCACCCATTTTGAGGTCGAGGGGGAAAAATAAAGCAAAATTTGGACTCTTTTGTTTGGATGAGACCAACCAATATCGATATTTGCTATGAATCCCACTGAATTTCACCCCATTTTTGCCATTTTCCCCATTTTTATGCCGCGTTTTTCTCATTTTTAGCCTCATTTTTCTCGGTTTTCTCCCAGATTCATAAAGAAAAAGACCCAAAAGCCCCAAATTCCCGAATTTCTTCTGTTTTTCCATATCATGGGGATTATGGGGTTGTCCCTGAGGTGGTAGAAAATGGCAGGAACACCAAATTCACCCCTCACGGGCACAAGCGGAGCTGAAACCAGGCCCCTTTTTTGGTGATTTTTCCCTCTTTTTGCCTCATTTTTCCTCATTTTCTCCCAAATTTCATGAAGAAAAAGACATAAAAGCTCCAAAATTGTTCAGTTCCTTTCATACCATGGGGGTTGTGTGTCTGAGGCGGTCGAAAATGGTGGGAACTCCAAATCCACCCCTCAAGGACACAAGCAGAGCTGGGACCTGTCCCCGTTTTGGTTATTTTTCCCTCTTTTTGCCTCATTTTTCCTCATTTTCTTTTTAGCCTCATTTTTCTCGGTTTTCTCCCAGATTCATAAAGAAAAAGACCCAAAAGCCCCAAATTCCTGAATTTCTTCTGTTTTTCCATATCATGGGGGTTACGGGGTTGTCCCCTGAGGTGGTAGAAAATGGCGGGAGCACCAAATTCCCCCCTCACGGGCACAAGCGGAGCTGGGACCTGGCCCCCACCACCCAAAGCCAAGGCCGGAGCCTCTCCCCCGTGAAGGCGGCGCGGGAGAAGACGAAAATGAGCCCCCCCTCGTCGGCGTCGAAAAACGCCACCGTCCCCCCCGCGTAGTCCAAGTGGACGCTGACCCTTCGGGGCACCCAACGCAGGGGGACGAGGGTGACCTTGCGGGTGGTGAGGGCCCGAATTTGGCCCCCCCATTTCTCTACCCCCCAAATCCCTCCTTGGGGGCAGAGGCTGAGGTGGCCTTTGCGGGGAATGGATTCGGCTGCCACCCCCAGGGCCCAGTCGCCG